CAGCTCCCCAAACCATCCCGCTGAAACCACCATGCTTCACAGTTGGCTGCAATCTGTTGAGCCAAACCTCTTGGTGAGGCATTCTCCAGACTCATATCCTTCCACTGTCCAAAAATTGAGCGAATCTTGATTCGTCTGAGAACAATATGGTCTTCCAAATGTCCAGAAGATTGGTCATCATATCACTTGCCCACTTCTTTCGTCTGACTATGTTGGCAGGTCTTAATAAGGGCTTCCGTCTAGCTGCTCTGCAACGATAACCCAATCTGTGGAGAATCCGTTGAACAGATTTCAGGCTCATCCCACCAGCTTTGGCCACTTCTGCAGTCGTTAATCTGGGATCCATTTCGATGCTCCTCTTGACAGCCCTTTTTGTCCTCTCCGATGGACCAGGACGACCCGGATGTTGCTCAGTTGTTTCCTTGCCGTGTTTCCTGAACTACACGATGATTCTGTTGACTGTCGAAAGCGGGATTCCCAAATTCTGCGAAATTTGCCGCTGACTTATACCACCATCTGCTTGACCAACTATCCTTCCTCTAACAAAATCTGACAATTCGAGAGAACCTTGAGTTCTAGGCATGTTGTAACACAAGATAATTATTGTGTGGACCATTTTCATTTATATAGTGCTCTGTGAACACAAATTAGTTAGCATAAATCAGTTAAATGACGAAAAATTAGGTGTCTATTTACTTGTGACCACTCAGTTATGTATATCACGTAGGTCTTCTAGAAATCTCCGTAGCCTCAACATAAATGGATTGCAAATACATCATTTGATAGTCTTGACATCACTGAATTATAAACACAAAATATATTAATTAATAATACTACCAACACTAAACAGTCTTTTATATCTGACATTTGCATACTGCAAAACTAGTTTTAATATAATTATGAAATAGAGACATTTAATTATTTATACCAAAATAACTTTAAGACTAAAATTAGTGCTAGCTCATTTATATTTATACTTTAAATGTGGTTGATATGTTAAAGAAAAGATCCATATTTTTATTATAAGTTATGGTTAAACCAGGTAGACTAACCACTGAAATACTGAAGGCCTTTCCTTGTTGTGGTTCAAATTTGGTATGAATTATAAAGTCAATTCCAGTTCTGATGCTAATGATTCTTGAAATATAGAGGCTTCTATTACTACTTTGGAGACCTTACTCATACATTCTATCTCTAGAATGTAGAAAGATCCCATTGCTACATTATCAGCATTGGTTGATCAACATATTCAGGCTGTTAATGCCAAAAGGTCTTTGGAATCTTTAAAGGACATTCTGTAGGCATATGGGTGAAGTGGAATACATTTTTAAAAGTTTATTTTCATCATGTTGCTATCTATTCAGATTTGGGATTCCATTTGCCACCAGTTGTTATTTTTCAAGTCAGAAGGAATCTCTAGCAAGTGATTTTTTTCTTTGTTACCTTCTTAATGAACGTGGTAATCCATGTATCACTATCCTGCTAGCATCACTTTATAGTTACAGGGGTGTTTGGGGATATGGAATCATTTAAACAAACCAAACTGGTTTGTACTAATAGTGTAAGACTTTGTGTTTGTATGGTTTCCTTCAGTCAGGTGTTTCACAGCTTAGATATACCTCTGTGTTTGCCCTAGATGCATTTCCACCCTCTAGGCTGGTGCTCCACGAGAGGGTGATGTCCTCTGGAAGTAGATAATTGATGTCATCTTGTAGATAATGATCCCTCAGCAAGTACCTTTTCCACCTTCTTATGCATGCACATATTTCTGTAGCACTTGAGTTATCAGAAACGAGATGACCATTATTCATATGATGTCTTGTAGCTTCAACCAGAATGGGAAACACCTTACTGCTCAATTTCTTATCCTTTTTTTTTACCACTTCTGTGTTCCCATTGCACTATTCTTGGGTCTGCCTGGGTATTTCAATTCTCCTCTGGGTTCCTATTGAATAGACTGGTTTTATGACCTGGCCAGTCATTTCTGATGTGAATTTAAAGAGCCTTAGTCCTAGGAGTATATCTAGTCACTAGGTATTACTGGTCTACCCTTTTGAAAAATTTTTGCTACAGGTACATAGCAATGCATTGAGCTCTGTTCCTGACTACATGTTATAACACCACCACCTGTGACCACACATTAGAATATGGTTGCTCCATAAGTACACATATACCATCTAACAACCTTTTTTTTAAAATTAAAGGGTGCATAGGGCAATGAAGTACCCTGCTGAGAAAAATACCTGTTTTTGAATATCCTAATTTGACTAAGTACGGTCTCCTATAAAACTGGTCACCTGTTTTTATTGTGAAACCAGATGTCTGCCTTTTATGTTGTTTCTGGATTATACTTAAACTCTTCTTAATTGAATCTATATAAATAATACACTTATGTTTGCCTATTCAGAACTATTCTCATAATTTTCTCGATCAAATGCTAAAATTATAAAAAAAAACTAAATCTCATATCGTTAGGTCTTTGTCTGAGAAGTCCAGATTGCATATTGGCTTTTCCATTCAGAGCCACCTTACCTGTTTTTTGTTTAGTCAAATTTTTTAATGCAACGAGTATGCTATGGCACAATGTCATTGTCATCCACGATGACTGGCTTCAATTTCTACTTTAGTTTTTTATTTGCAAAGTATTTCACACAAACCTGTGTGTAATTTTCTAAAAGAAAATAAACATCACACTAAATACAATTTTTATGGGTTTTCTCGATTTATTTAGGTCTAAAATATGCATGCACAGTTCGTTCAAAACCATATCCTTATCATTTTGTAAATACTTTCAGACATTTCTGCATATCAGTTAAATTTGCCTTCATTACAACTTTATATTTACTCTACTTTGCAATAACTTAGCTTTGGTTTGTTTCATTGACTGCTATAAACACCTTTTAGTTACTCAACTTTACATTTACTCTACTTGCAATAACTTAGCTTTGGTTTGTTTCATTGACTGCTATGAACACCTTTTACTTACTCAACTTTACATTTACTCTACTTTGCAATAACTTAGCTTTGGTTTGTTTCATAGACTTATATAAATACCTTTTAGTTACTCAACTTTACATTTACTCTACTTTGCAATAACTTAGCTTTGGTTTATTCCATAGACTTATATAAACACCTTTTAGTTACTCAACTTTACATTTACTCTACTTTGTAATAACTTAGCTTTGGTTTGTTTCATAGACTTATATAAACACCTTTTAGTTACTCAACTTTACATTTACTCTACTTTGCAATAAATTAGCTTTGGTTTGTTTCATTGACTGCTATGAACACCTTTTACTTACTTTTTTCTTTACTGTGGGTTTAATTCTTCACTTTTGCAAGTTTTGACACTAAAACTGTGTCATAACTGTTTCATACACTATACACTATTATAAATACCCTAACTATACTTTGTTTTATACTTTATTTGTAGTTTTATTAAATAAAGTTATGTGTATCTGAGCTTGTTTGTCTGACTGTGTAAAATTCTTTCAAATAGACCAGGATTTATTGATCTAACACATAATAATGCCTGCTTGAAAGGGTAGCTTAAATGGCATGCGTGGAAATTCAAACAAAGGGCATGAAAACACCCCAAAAGTGTAGTGGGTTGCAGCTAATTTAACATAATAGTGCAAATTCTGGAACACTCCACTGAAAATTAGGATAAAATCAGAAGTCTAGTACATCTATTGATCTTTATAATCACAGATCTTATGAGGAACAGATTCTAAGCTTTTTCTTGTTTTTGTATGGAATTTGTCTGTGGTTGCGTAATATGTTTGCTGATTTGTTTTTAAGAAAAATCTTATTATAATGGAGCTTGCGATGTATACGTTCAAAACTTGGATCTTGGAAACTACCACACTGATCATCACCAATCATAACTGAGTAATATTTTTATAACTAGGCAGTATTTTTATAGCTGAGCAATAAATAAAACAGTTAAAACTTCCATAAAAATGATATGTTTCAGATTTAACCAATAAAAATGAGTAAGTTTCAAATATAAAACAATAAAAAACTGTAAAAAGATTATTTGTTTTTCTTTGGTGAAAATGTCATGAGTGTTGCAACAGAAAAGCAAGGCACTTTCATTGATAAATGTGTCTACTCTGTGATGTAATGCTGTGATGATAGCTCATTTTTAAACCAAGATTTCAATAAAATCCTTTTTCTCATGGATGGTGAACATTATTGAATGTCAAGTATTGTTGTAGAACTGTCAGACAATTCCAGAAAAGGCCCAAGGCCCAATAGTCTTCTGCAGGAGTTGGCAGTTATAGCTGCCCAGAAAGTGGGTATTTCTGCTAATACTAATAATTGAGGAATTACAGGTAACAAAATGTAGTTTATTAATATCATTCTGAAAGGTGGAAGTTAAAAAAATTCATTACAAGGTTATATGTTGGGCAATGAAGAGTGTGAGCAACAAGTGTCACATTCTTCAGTTTTTTGTTTATTTCTTTCTGATCCCCATGCAAACCTGTATACACTAACCATCCTTAATTCTAAACTTGAGGGAAGACAGCTGGTCAACAGCACCACCACCAACTCTTGGGCTACTTTTGACAGGGCGAGTAGTGAGATTTGACCATTACCCTTGTAATGCACCATTGACCCAAAAGATAGGGGCGGCCTTTTGTTTGTCAATAATGGGATGCAAATAATTAACCCGTAAAAATCGATAGTCTCTCATGCTGACCATTGGATCATTCTCGGCCTGTTTCTGAATGTAAAGAGAGTGAACAAAGCTGAAATTATCAATTATATGATAATAAAATAAATAGTCTCTAGAAGAAAGGAAAATATATACAAAAAACATATATACAACCAAAATTTGATATCATTCAAATTACTTGGCAAGATTGGAAATATGTATAACTAGTCTCTTCGTGCATGCTAATTTATTTTTATCAACATATCATCTAAATCTCATTACACTAGAATAATACTGTGTAAATGATTTTTATCTTGTTGATATATTCCTACAAACACAGAATTGATTGTTGAAAATCCAAGCATTAATATTACATAAATTGTGAAAAAAACGAGCAGTAATTCCAAATAAATTATCAAAAAACCAAGCAGTAATACCACATGATTTGTAAAAGAAAAAAGCAGTAATGCCACATAAATAGTAAAAGAACAAGTAGTAATGCCACATAAATAGAAAACCAAGCAGTAGTACCATATAAGCAGTAATGCCATATAAATAGTAAAAGAACAAGCAGTAATACCACATGATTTATTTTTAAAAAAGGCAGTAATGCCACATAAATAGTCGAAAAAAAACAAGTATTAATGCCACATGAATTTTCGAAAACAGCAATTTGTAACATAAATAAATAATAAATAAGCAGTAATGCCATATAAATAGTAAAAAAACAAGCAGTAATGCTACATAAATAGTTGAAAAAACCAAGCAGTAATACCACATGATTTATTTTTAAAAAAGGCAGTAATGCCACATAAATAGTCGAAAAAAAACCAAGTATTAATGCCACATGAATTTTCGAAAACAGCAATTTGTAACATAAAATGAGCAGTAATTTCACATAAACAATTGTCAAAATGACTGCTCTGTATGGCATACAATTTAAGAAAGCCTTTATTGATGTTTTCTAACTTATAACTTAAACGTTTTATTTTGTATTCCAAATTAATCTTCCAAAGGTAAACTACATTGTAAATCTACAGAAAAGATAAATGCTAAAGATTTCTTTAAAAAAGGGATGAGATTGGCATTATTCTGCTTACAAAAGAACAAAGGATCGCAGTTTTAAGTAACATCATATCTCTCACTATCCAATTAATCAATATTATTCATGCCTGTTCTCCTATCATTTCAAAAGTGAATGTTGAGTTTTGCCTGTGTGCACAGCTTTACAGATGCAGTTCGGGAAGCAGCTGCCATAAATGGGAGACAGACACAAGCTCAGACAGACACCACAGTTTACAATATATATAAAATTAACTGGTTATAGGGAAGTGTAGGAGTAGCCAAAAGTTACTGTACAGCTGAGTAACTAAGATAACAGTCCTAGCAATCAAATTAGTGGAAGTATTCAAGTTGCTTGCCATCACAGATTCATACATTCTAACTGGTATACTTTAGAACATAAGCTAAAGTTGGAAACAGTGTTAAGAAATTCTTAAAAAGTGAAAGTTTGTTATTCTGCCAGTGTTTGTGGTTTTCATTCATAAATGTGACCTTCCACTAGCCTTAGGTCTAGGGTATATGTGGACTTTCAATAAGGTCTCACTTATAAATACACCAAAAAATGAAAAGTGCAGTGAGTGCTTGCCTATGTAATTTATTTTACTTAAACCTGTATATATATATGTGTGCATGTTGCACATAAAAACAGATAAATAAAACTAATATACAAACTATGATATTTATATGGTAAAATGTACCTCTGTAAGAGAATAGTAGTTTCAGTTTATCATCAAAGGTAACATAATACTTTTCCTCAAGTTCTCTTGTATTATACGTTAAACCTAACATAAATGTTGTGTAATCTGATATATATATATTTTTGGTGGGTATTGAGTAACCTTCAACTTTTCCATATAGCCATTTTTCGTGTGATTTCTGCTGTTATGCTGTTTGGGAACATGAAGTTCAAACAAGAGAGAAACTCAGACCAAGCAACATTACCTGATAATACTGTTGCACAGAAAGTCAGCCATTTACTTGGTCTCAATGTTACAGAGATGACCAAAGCTTTCCTGAAGCCTCGACTGAAGGTTGGACGAGACTATGTGACCAAGGCACAGACAAAAGAGCAGGTAATTGGAAAATTTGAAGATAGTCAACTCTTAGTTAATATTACAATAGAGAAAGTTAAAAATGCTGAATCTCAGGCAAGTTATTTAACAGTCTGCAAGCCAAAGAGTTAATTTGACAGGTTAATTATTAGATAATAGATAATCTTAAAGGTTTGAGTCTATTTCAGAGTAAAATTAATAAGTATGTAAGACAAGATATGGAAGAAAAAAGTTTGGTTATTTTCATTTGGTAAGTGCTAATTAAACACTGCTTTTGTAATTGTGGTTCAGGAATGGTGGTACTTACTATGGTATATTAAGTATTAATTTTGTAGTTTGGAATTGTATAGAATGATATAATTTGTAATGTTTATAGGCTTATAATAATGAAAGTGATTCAGATAATTATGTGTTGTGGATAAGCTAGTTCACTTTATGAGTTTATTTAATTGCAAGCATGTAGGATCTTCTTCAATAAAAATTGAATATGTTTAATGTTTTTTAATTTATTTAAATAAATAAATTATTTGATAAAAGCATTATTTTCAGTATCAAAATTTTAATGAAACATTTTCTAAATCTGCAGAAAGGTTTGATGTATTTTTTGCATTTTCATAAAACTTATATGAGCCAGAACAATTTGAGTAAATCAAACATGTTTTTCATTGTGAGAGCACTTCTGATTTCTTTTATAGTATAAGTATTTTAGTGGTGTTGATATTTTTATCTATACTTCTTAAATGCCAAATTTCATTCTCTGTTTTCATAGGTTGAATTTGCTGTGGAAGCTATAGCGAAAGCTTGTTATGAACGTATGTTCCGATGGTTGGTCAACAGAATAAACCGATCACTTGACCGGACCAAGAGACAAGGTGCATCCTTTATTGGAATTTTGGACATTGCTGGATTTGAAATTTTTGAGGTGAGAAATCAATGTGTACTCAAAAAAACTTAATATTTTTTAATTCTTTTTGTCTAAATTGATTTTAAGTACATCAAATGCAGAGCTACTGTACAGGTTTTGGGGTTTTTATATTACACGTAAATTTACAAAGTAAAACAACTTTTAAGGCTTCTATGTATGATGATATTCACTATTTTTAGCAATTTTATTTGTTCACAGTGTTGTTTTTACTGTTGATAAAAGTTAAACAGACTTGCAGAAGCAATTAACATTACATTTCTAGGCCTTAGAGTAACTGACAATTGGTAAACAGATTTATTTCATTTTGAGGATGTTATATGCAAAGAAATCATATTTTTTTTGTTAAAACTGATTTTCTTTCTGCTGCTACTACTATCAAGATATTCGTGATTATAACTCATTAATTATATTAATATTTATTATAAAAGAGTTCTAAGTATTGTAAGAGTTACTTATGGCTTTGACAATGACAACAACAGTAATGCATTTAAACTCTACTTGATGGATGTAACAGTGGTTACCTTGTGACAGATTCAGACTTTTTTGTTTGTGAATATTAAAGATCAAACTGTGATTATTTTAGGGCACTCGTTCTGGATTCTACTGAGTCAAAGAATAGGAGGTGGTTACTATATGACAGACATTTAAAATCTCAGACCATATGACATGAATACTTTAAATTGTTGCAGTACTCTTAGATTTTGATACACAAGATGGACAAGATGTGGATACACTATTGTTTGTTTAGGCCTATTTCTTCAGGAAACTACTACTACTGTATTGCTATGTTCAGAAGTTGTATATGGATATTTTAGAACATGATTGCATGCTTATATTTTAGTATCAGAGACGAAGATACGATAACTTAGGACACCATTGTACGCTGATGTTCGAGTTATGTCTGTTTCTTGTATGTCACAAAAAATATAAAGGTATTTAAGCACGTGATTTTGGTTTTTCATGTGAAACAATAGTTTATGGATATCCTAGGAGACGCTACAGCAGGGTATGTGTTGTTATATCACAATGTTAGATACGAAAATTCAGTCGACGATTCTGTAATATGGTATGATTTTTTTAATCAAAGACAGCATTAGGTGAAACGCTATTGTGTGGAGTATGTAAGACACTACTGTATGATATGTTCTGTTACTGTTACACTCAAATATACAGGTAGCACTTCATGATTCTGTTTGGCTCTTAGTTATCAAAGAACAAGATTTGAATTACTCTATTAGATACACTTGGTCTATCTCTGGCTTCATTCACAGATTAATTCCTTTGAACAATTGTGTATAAACTACACCAATGAGAAGCTACAGCAACTCTTCAACCACACCATGTTCATCTTGGAGCAGGAAGAATATCAACGAGAAGGAATTGAATGGAAGTTTATCGACTTTGGACTAGATCTGCAACCTACAATAGATCTAATTGAAAAGGTAATTTAACAGCTGATTGAAGAAACTATATTTTTCTTCTTGATGATGGTTATTTTCCTTATTAATGTGTTAGTTGAAGTGTTGTGTTTTAAATATTTTGGATAATTGGAAATGTTATTTACACTATTGGATATTAAGTAGTATAAAATTTTGAAGGCTGTTTCAATATATCTATAAATTCAAATAAGTTTAGGCTATTTTTTTTGTACTGGAAAAGTACTTTGTTTCAGCAGGTTAAAAATGTTTTATTAAAAGAAATTCTGTTACAATCCTCAAAATATTTAAAGAGGAAATTTAGTGTGTAGTCATTCTGTTTCTTCTTTTTTACAATTTCAGATATTTTAAAGATTCATTGATAAAATATTTTCATTGACACTTATACGCCTCTAAGTGGCTCAGTGGTAAGTCTGTAGACTTTTGATACCCTTGGTGGGCACAGCACCCATTGTGTAGCTTTCTGATTTGCTACAAACAAACAGATACTTATACATAAAATTATTATTTTCATATGTGCTAGCTAGTTAGAAGTATTAGCTAGTTTATTTTAGTTACAGTGGTTAATGTTTGGACATATTTTCTGGTTATCTATGTACTTCTGTATCATGGTAAAGGTACAGTCACACAATGTTTGTGTGTTGTGTATTATATAATGCATAAGGTACTTGTCTTTATAGGGTAATGTTTTGTGTGTGTGAATGCTCTGTTAGGGTTATTTCTGTATTAATTGGTTATAGAGATTATATAGATTTGCTTGACTAGCTTTAACTTATTCACCACTGATTTTTTCAAGTATTAACTTTGCTAAAGATGAAGTTTCCTCGTCTTCTTTAGATTATTAATGGAAGTGACTCTTCTCATATCAGGCTGTCCAGCCCATACTGTGATCAGCCAGGTCCTTTACAGAATTTAAACTAAATATAACTATATATGTTTTCCAGTGAATAATAAAACTACACTAGGATTGTATTTAGTTTCATATATGGATAAAAACATATTTCATTACACATATTTCCCTCAAAGTATATGGGTAGGATCTGCTAAACAAGAGGTCTGACAAACATTGTGTCAGAGGGTTTGTTTCCCATTGAACTCTGACTGAGTTTGTCTGCAAGAAAAAGTTCACACTCAAGATGCAAAACAACAATATCAATTTTTATTTCAAAACATACTCAAAGACAAACACACTAAAAAACAAAAGTGTTTGTGATGGGTTTGTGGAACTGTCTCTCTCTCTCTCCAGTTCAGTGTGAGCCCCTTTCATGCTCCTTGTAACTAAACAAATAAGAAATTTAAAATATAACCCCTAAATGTTAAAGTTAAACTAAGACAAGAATGCTGAAATTTAACTAACAGTCTAACTATCTGAAAATTATAACAAAATGTCTAGCTGCCCCAAATCTGGACAACTCTGCTCAACAGGAGAGAACCTGACTTTAAACTCAAAATACAATAGCACAAACAAATTCAGACTGCTTACAATATGTGGACCTGAACCACTTTCTCAAACAGAAAAGTTAAGGAAGACCAATGTCTTTTCACAATTTACTGTTTATTTCAGGACACCATGAGTTAAGTCTATAACACCTATATTTCCTGCAAAAAGTATGATTAATGACTAATTAGAGTGAATCTGATTTCATGTACAGCTAATGTAATGAGAAGTTAGTTAATTGAGTGACTCTCTGTGTCCAAACCAAACTGAAAGAAATCAGAAGTTTGGAAACATTCACTTAGGGGATAGCATACATATGGTACCATTGTGTATCACAGTTATATAATAGTTATTTTGCATGCTTGAATAAGATATTTCACTATCCTGTCAGTGTAAGTCCCAAACTCTGCATAAAGATTTTCTTGTGTATTTAGATAGTTTTTTCTATTTATTATATTGTGTAATTTTATCTGAAATGCTGTGTATTTTCAAAATTCACAAGAAGCTAGCTTTAATTAGCAATTGATAGATCATTATTGCACTTGTTTTCGTTTGTAGTACTGGCAAAGATTTAAACATTTTAAATCCATACTGTACATCTTCTCCAAGATGTCTTATAATGTACATTTTCTCCTGGATTTCTTATATGTATATATCTTCTACAGGATGTTTTATACTGTACATCATCTACAGGACGTTTTTTGTAGTCAAGCAGTAATTGCTTTAATTATTGCATTCTTTTAGGTTTGATTTTTTTTTTTTATTTATTGATGTAGCCCATGGGAATTTTTGCCCTTCTTGATGAGGAATGCTGGTTCCCTAAAGCCACAGACAAGACCTATGTAGAGAAATTACTCAATTCCCACAACACACATCTCAAATTTGTAAAATCAGGTTTTCGTGGAACAACTGATTTCAGTATCATGCATTATGCTGGCAAGGTAAAGCTGTTTCATATTCATGATAATTCCTTAAATATGAATTCGTAGGCTAGCATTCTTCCTCATTGCTATTAAAATCAAGTTACAGGTTGTCCTGTGACTATATGCCAAAATGTTTATGTTGTAAACTGTACATAGCATTTTTTTTTGCATGAAGGTTTTGAATCAGGAAAGTTTCAAAATGTGATTTTTTAACTATACATTTGTAGAAATGACTTTATATTACATTCAGATAGAGTCATAGAAATTACTGATTTGGCTACAAATGTCTAGAAATGTTTTTATGTTAGTTCTAGAACCCGACTTTATTAGTTACACGTATCTAATGTGTATCTTCATGTTACAAACAGGTAGACTACTCTGCTACCCAGTGGCTGATGAAGAATATGGATCCATTGAATGAGAACATGGTGTCACTGCTACAGTGTTCCCAAGATCCATTTATTGTACAGATTTGGAAAGATGGTATATTATATCTGAAACAGTTAATATCCCTGTCCTTCAGATTTTAAGTTGTAAATGGTTTGCATGTTTCCTTAAGAAGTGTTTTCACAGGAAATTTGAAAGTTTATTTTCAATATATGATTTTTAAACCTCATGCTTTCTTTCTTGTCTGTAGCTGAGATTGTGGGAATGGGTGCAGCCACCATGACTGACACTGTTTTTGGTGCCCGTACTAGAAAAGGAATGTTCAGGACAGTCAGCCAACTTTATAAGGACCAATTGGCTAAATTAATGGTTACACTACGAAACACCAACCCTAATTTTGTCAGGTGCATTATACCCAATCTTGAAAAGAGGGTGAATTTCAGTTTATTCTTTTTGGCTTTAGACAAATAAACAGCAGTATGCTGTGAGAAATTGAATATTAAACGTTTTTGACAAAAAAAAATGTTTTTTAATGTTCTCTACATAGTGCTGTTATATATATGATATTTAATACTTTTTTTATTAAAGATAAGCTGTATTGAAGATTTTGAGATTAAATATTATATTTTTTCACATAGTTTCTCTAAAAATTTCCATAGTTATCTTGAAATATCTTAGCATTTAATTGATCAAACCAAAGTCTTGAATGTTGTTCCAGGCTGGTAAAATTGATGCAGTTCTGGTGCTGGATCAGTTACGTTGTAATGGAGTACTAGAAGGGATTAGAATCTGTCGTCAAGGTTTCCCTAACAGGATTCCTTTCCAAGAGTTTAGACAGAGGTGAAAAACTCTTTCTTTGTGCTTAACTTTTTAAATGATTTTCTATTTTGAATCATTTAAAGTATAACAATGTTTCTGTTGACTTTATATATTTTAATTTGAGTATTTTCCAATTTTACAGTTAGAAGAACATTTGAAAAACTTCTCTGTACCTTGTGACTTTTCCTTATTTGATGTATTATGTAAAATTATATTATTTTCCATTGTTCCTCAAAGAAAGTTCCAAGAAGACTTAAATGTTAATTATAAATTTTGTTTAGCTCAAGTGATGTAGATTTATTAAGGAAACTTTATGTAAATATATATGTAGATTCATTAAACAACAACATGTTTTATGTTTAATAACATTCAGGTATGAACTTCTTACAACCAATGCTATTCCTAAAGGCTTCATGGATGGCAAGCTGGCTTGTGAGAAAATGGTGAGTGAAGCAATGCATGAAAGTTTCTCTATTTGCTTCTTGAATCATTAGAAAAAAATTAATACTTAAGCTACAGATTTTAAAGATTTTTACTTCTTGAATCTTCAAAAAAGAAGTGATGACCTAAGATATTCTTAACATTACTACTTACATGATCATAAGAAAGCTATTCTTTAGTTGTTAACTGATGATGTAGAAGAAAGTCGTGTTTGATCTTTAAATTTTGTATTATAGTAAAAACCTTTCTAGATAATATAATAAAATACATTAACAAAGTGTATGTATGATGCAATAGTTAATTGGCAAAAAACATATAAGATAGAATAAAATTTACCCACTCCCATTTTTTATGTAGACATTATTATCTTATTTTGCTTGTTAACTCAGATGAGATTTATTCTCCAATTTTATTAATAAACATTATCTGATACAAGGAAGAAGCTACTTTTTTTTTATTTAGGTGCAGAATACAAAGCATATTTGTATATATTTTCCTCCATAAAAGGTAACTTTCCTTATGCTAGACATACACTACTGTTTTAATTCAAGTATAGCACGAGGGTTAAATTTAGTTATTCTTAGAAGTGATAATTTATTGCAAGTTTGTTTATGTAACTGTGCGAATCATATGTTGTGTAGTTCAACTGCTGTGAATTGGCACTTTTTGTATTACTGTGCCATGTCACTAGAACCTTCTGAGTTTTTCTTGAGTATTATTACATCATTATCTTTTGTAGTGTGTGGAAAATTCTAGGCCTGTGTGAACTTTTGAGAAAAGGAGACAATTATTTAAAGTTCTGGATACAACTGTGGTAACCCACATTTGTATATAAGTTTGACTTATTTCAATATATTCTTTTAAAACAAGTGAACTGTGTGTGCTGTTTGTTTATTGTTGAAATTTATCACCAACAAGTCACAGACACCTACTGTAAATAATCCTGCCTACATACGTAAAACCTGACACCTTATCTCTCTCTTTCTTTTTTTCTTTTTTTAGATTCAAGCATTGGATCTTGATCCTAACCTGTACAGGGTTGGCCAGAGCAAAATATTTTTCAGGGCTGGGGTTTTGGCACATCTTGAGGAGGAGCGAGACATGAAAATCTCTGACTTGATCATTCA